TAAAAGTATTTTCTGAGGAATAGTGCCTTCACCCCCAAATCCTGCCTTTTCACCCAAACTCCCTGTTCACCAGGACCAGCCTGGCCATTCATACTACACAGCTATGGCAACAGGGATATTTGGTGAGGTACTTGAACTCTCTGATTGATAATCCCAAATGCTTCCCTAAATTATAAATTCCAGAATTCTACACAATGGTATTTTGGAAGATAACATGGAATAATAGCACTATAATTCTGTAGGGTTTAATGGATGAAATCAGCAAAAGTTTGCATTTCTAGTGAATCTGCAATTAATGATAGAAACCCATGGACAGAACTTGGATACTGGATCACCTGATATACAAAGGAATCATTTTGTTTAGCTGTGGAAAAGCATTGGGCTGAATCCAGATTAATTCACTGAAATGACTTGAGATGAGTCATGACTAACTTGTTACACTGATTTTAATGGAATCTAATTCAGCTGAGAGCCTTTGCAGACTGCTAGAAATAGTGCAAATTGAGTCCACTTTAACTGCCCTGTCTCAGTACTAGGGAATCATGGGAACTGTATTTTATTGTGGCACCAGAGCTCTCTGACAGAGAAGGCTCAATGTCTCAGAAAAAACAAGACAAAAACAATTCCCATGATTCCCTAGCACTAACCCTAACCCTTAAAGTGGACTCAATTTACACTATTTCTGGCAATCTGCAAAAGCCCTTAATCTGCATTGAGTCCAGGGCCTTGGATCAAAGGTCATTCCTCTCTACATGGTGCTTCTCTGCCACCCCCACCTCCACATGGCAGAAGAGGGTTGGACTGAATGGCCCTTGGGTCTCTTCCAACTTTATGATTTTATGATTCCATTATTCCATTGGCTAGTAAATGGCCATGGGGAGATACAGCATGTAGAGGGAGGTTTAGGGGATGTAGGTAAAGAATTCCCACCTTTACGACAACCAAAAAAAGAAATAATGGGGGGTTGCAGACTGCTAGAAATAGTGCAAATTGAGTCCACTTTAAGGGTTAGGGTTAGGGTTAGGGTTAGGGAATCATGGGAATTGTAGTTTATTTTGGCACCAGAGCTCTCTGACAGAGAAGGCTCAATGTCTCAGAAAAAAAACAGTTCCCATGATTCCCTAGCACTAACCCTAACCCTTAAAGTTGACTCAATTTGCAGTATTTCTGGCAGTCTGCAACCCCCAAATGTCTGTTTAACCCCCAAATGTCAGTCTGGCAGTCTGCAACCCCCAAATGTCAGGATGCCAGCATGCATCTCAACTATTGTCAGCAGCTTTCTAATCTTTAGGAATAGATTGAGGGATAAGAGACTGCAGAGATAAGTGGGAGACAGGGAAGCTGATCCTGGATCTAGATCAGTAATTCAAGCTGTGGTGGTTATATTGACATGATATACAATCTCTACTTTTGGTTTCTGATCTGTGATGACCTGTGCACACATCAGAGACATCAAGTTTGAAAATGTTTATGTATACATTCAAGAAAACTGGAGAAACTAAAAGATGCACATATATGGACTTGCTTCTGAGCAAGTGTATTCAGAATCTAGGCCCTAGATCTTCTGCCTCTCCCTCTGGTCTTTAAAACTTTGAGCTCAGCAGAGAAGTCCATCATTTAAAGAGGAACCAGATAATCTGCTTATTCAGATGGAAAGACACTTCATGGATAATTAAAGTTGATGAAGCCTTCAGGCGGCAAGGTGTCAAAGCTGAGGAGTGAGGGATAAAGAGATAAAATGAGATAGCACCAAGCAAATACTTTTTTCAACAGGCCAGGAACAGAGTCTGTCAAATTTGATTGTAGTGTTTATTTGAAAAGCCAGGACCAGAGAAATTAAATCTAATCTAGAGCATGAGAAAGAGACAAGTGTAGGGACATGTAAGGATCAGTTGTGAGCACTGTTGACTCTAGTGTATCATGTGTTGGGATTCCTTACAGGAATGACACGCCAGACAGAATGAATGGGGGCACAATGCTTCTTGCTGCTTGTTTGCTTGAGGAATCAGTGCTTTCCTCAGCCTTTTTATTAGCAACTTGTTTACAAGATGGTCAATGCTGTCCATTACTCATTAACTGACAGAAGATGCTATTTCCCTGTGTCAGGCTCAAAGGTCAAAGTAAGTAAACAGGACAGGAAACCAGCCAAGTTATTCATTAGGGGTGTCTTCCTGTGTAAACACCAGCCAGGCTTAGATATTAAACTTATGCATAAAAAACACAGAGAGAAATTTGAGGACCCTGTGGCTTGCCAGCAAAATTCCCATAATCATGCTTACCTTCAATCCAGTGAGCTGACTGAAAGGTCTCCCCACCAACCAGTGGAGTTATGTCCATTAATTTTGATCTCAGGAAGAAGAGGTTTGCTGAGGTCTCAGCATTTTTTCAACTTCCCTTCTTCAAATTTAAATCCAAACTGATGAACAGCACTGAGAGCTGTTTGACAGTGGAACACACTCCCTTAGAGTGTGGTGGAGTCTCCTTCTTTGGCGGTCTTTAAACAGAGGCTGGATGGCCATCTGTCGGGGATGGTTTGATTTTGAGTTCCTGCATGGCAGGGGGTTGGACTGGATGGTCCTTGAGGTCTCTTCCAGATCTAGGATTCTATGAATCTATTTGGCAGAACACTGGAAATGTTTAAGATTTAGAGATGGGGGACACCCGATTTTCTTATCTGGATACCATGTACCCAATATTTCCAAAGGGATGCAGTGACTTAAGTGGTTTAGATGCTGACTCTGTTGATTGCAAGGTTGGCAGGTTATCAGTTTGAGGCTCGGGTGCTGCATGATGGGGTGAGCTCCTGTAACTAGACCCAGCTTCTGCTAACCTAGCAGTTCAAAAGCATGCAAATGCAAGTAGATAAATAGGTAATTCGGTGGGAAGGTAAACAGCATACTGTGCAATCATGCTGGCCTCATGATCACAGAGTAGTCTTTGACAACGCGGGCTCTTTAGCTTAGTAACAGAGATGAGCACCGCCCTCTGTGGTTGGACATGACCTGACAACCTTGTCAATGGAGAATATCTTTACCTTTTTAATATTTCCAAATGCTACACACATCACATTTTGAAGCACATAGGTATGCAAAGCTATTGTGTACTGTTGTTATATACCTTCAAGCTGCCTCCAACTTACAGTGTTATCAGTTATGCTTAATAAATATGAACATTAGATCTTGATGAATGCAACAGGAAAGCTGCCTGTTGCCAGAGTCTAAAGAATTCATATTGGACAAGGTTGGGCTGTGGCCTGGAGTCTTTGTTTATCTTGTTGTGTGCCTTGAAGTCATTTCTGACTTGGTAAGAGTCGTTCAAAAGAGGTTTGTCATTGTTTTTCCCTGAGGCTGAGAGCATGTGATTTGCCCAAGGTCATCCAGTGGGTTACATGGCTGAACTGGGAATCAAATCCTGTTCTCCAAAATCATAGTCCAACACTCAAACCACTATGTTACAGTATTTATATATTCTGTCCAGTATACTTTGTGTAGCTTTACAGTAAGAATAACATATTAAAATGCTACCTTCCCTTTTGTAGAAAACACCTCACTGTGGCAGGGCTTTGCATGTTCTATACCTCTACAGTTACAGTTGCGTTTTGGAATGGTTTGCAATGTGTTGAGCCACTTGGGTAGGGTGTTGAGTGTGAAAAAATTCCCAGAAACATTTAAAAAGGGGGACTGTTTTTGTTGGCATCCCAAGAGATTCAACCAGGGGAGGCATGAGGGTGGAAAATTGGCCCCCTATGCAGTTTCCCACCCTGTCATACATGTTGACTCACTATACCACAATTGATTTAATTAACCTCCATGAATTGGGACTAGAGGATGCCAGTCATTTTTATGCCATGATGGCTCACTTCAGTATGTCCTCCTTAGCTGGCAAGCCTGCAAATCCCACCCCATGCACCAGCTACTTTTTTTTTGTAGTCTCTAGGTGCCTTCCCTCTCCTTTCTTTGTTCAACACATTTGCACAAAAGGGGATATTATTATGTCTTTCTTGATTATGAAAATATCCTCAGTCTTGTTTTATCAGGTTTTATTCAGCAGGAGTGTAATTCAATTTTCCCTTTCATTGGGTGACTCAGATGAAAGGGCATCTGGCTTTTTATATAATTGCACAGCATGAAGAGGACTCAGAGAGGGCTCTTGGATGCTTCCTTGCTTGCTCTTTTTCAAGCATGCCAGTAGCAACAAATGCTGCAACAGTGAAAGAGAGCAACCAGTTTCCACATGCAAAGTGTGAGACAGCATGACCCACAGATTCCATGATTAGAGCAGAGTGTGTACTCTGAACACTCCCATCACGTGCACAATAAAATGGCATCTGAATTTGAGATAAAAGAAAACAAAAATTCTCAGAAGAACCTAATATTCTGCAGATAGTGGAAGTATTCTGGCAAGATGTTTTGACTGTAAATCAGGACTGGAGAAAGTGTGTCTCATTTTCTGTTTCTAAACTTTTTCTGGAAAGAAAACAGGCAGTGGAGGAAGTAAAACAATATTTAAATGGCACATTGTACCCCCTCGATACTTTTCTTCCTGCATGGGGAGTGATCAGAGTGGGCATGTATCACATTGAGGTCCAGGAAGGGCAAAGTTGGCCATTAGCCCCTCAGAAGAGGCTCACTTCTATTGTTGAACAAGCTGGATCTGTGGCAGCCAGAGCAGGGACTTTTTATGGGTGGCACCTGTGGTTCTGTGCACAGTAAGTATTGCCATGTAAAATGGGTTTAAGTTAAAAGGGGCTACAATAGTGATCTAGTGCAAACCCTTGCTATGCAGGAATACACAACTAGCACTCCAGAAAAGATGGGCTCAGTTGGTCAACCAGTTATGAATCCTGGGGTTTGTAATTTTATAAGGTCACTAGCCTTAACTGCCAAAAGGTGCGGGTGCCTCACAAAACTGTAAATCATAGTATTCTGTAGGAGGGAGCCATGGCAGTTAAAGTGGTGCCAAACTGCATTATTTCTAGAATGTAGATGCACCCTAAGAGAGGCAGTATAGTGTAGTGGTTTTATTGTTGGACTGCAACTCTGGAGACCAGGGTTCAAAACTTGGTTCAGCCATACAAACCCACTGGGTGACCCTAGACAACTCACACTCTCTCAGCCTCAGAGGATGGCAATGGCAACCCCCTCTGAAGAAACGTGGCAAGAAAACCCCATGATAGGTTTGCCTTAGCATCACCATAAGTAGGAAATGACTTGGAGGCAGCAGCAGGAGCAACAACAGATGCACCCTAGGGCTGCTAGTGGGGGGACAAAAGCACTGACAGGTGGTCCTCCTGTAGCTGATCAGGATAGGAGGGTCTGGTGTGTAATGAGGTGGTTTTTGCTTCCTTCTTCAGGCGGCATGACAGCTAAAGCCACTCCTGCTGGCAGAGATCTATCCTCATCTTACAGAATTCTGTAAAAAGCCATGAAAACTGAAGGCACTGTTTTGTTGTTGCTGCTGCTCATTTGTTTTTAAGCCTATGTGTGTATAACTGAAATAATAATATATGTGTCTGCTATTTGCATAAATTTAAAAGACAATCCTCTGCCTCCATGGGGAGACAACCTAGAGAAAAACTTGTCAAGACCATGTGGCACCCTGGTCTGGAAAATGAGATGGATGTGACCACTGAAAGGAACTTGAACAATGGTAACAGGGTTACTACAGTTCAAGTGGCAGGTGCGTGAGCCAGCATTTGGAAAGCTGTGCATCATGGGAGGTCTGATGCAACATGCACAGTAGGTGAGACCAGCCAGGTATGCATCATAGGAGGCCTGATGCAACAAGCACTGGGGATGAAACCAGCCAGGTTTCATTAGTACATGGATATCACATGTTCTTAAGAAGACCACCTATATATGTGGGAGAGAGTCAGAATCTCTGTTGTTGGTTATTTGTGGTTGATGAAGCACTTCATTGGTTTGTATAGCTGTGAGTATTCAAGACTGATGTCTGATAATCAATGTATCTTTGTAAATATTTGCAACAAAGATTAAAGCCCTCATTGAGTGAAGTCTCGCTCTCTAGCGATTCATTTCTCCAAGCTGAAAGCAGCAGCCTGCATGTAGGAGGATTTTTCCTGTGCTGTCTGGTGCAAGATTCTTCACAGAAGACCATCTTCTGGCCATTCCTGTCTAAGTGCATCAACTCTATGTGTGTGTATGCTAGATCCTGCCTGTCTGCATACCCCAACAAAACTCAAGGCAGATAACAGCAGAGGAAAGTAACAGAGGTAGAATAAAGTGTCATACTGTCCTGCTTTCAACCACAAACAAGATTCAGAGTTCCCAAATCAGTAAGCCATGGAAGCAAGAGGTATTCGGTGTCAAACAGTCAGGGGTCAAGAAAGCTGTAAATCAGAGTCAGGATTCCAGGGAATCATGGTAGCCTAGTCCATGGTTCAGGAGTCATAAATCTGATAAACACACTTTTCATAAGTCAAGCTGTCAAACAGTGGACTGAAGTTGTACTCAGCAAGATAGCTGGTAGTTTCAAATTCCTTATATAAGCAGGATGTTCAGCCAATGCCCAAATCCCAGGCAATATTTAAGGAGAGCATTCCAAAGCTGTGCTTTTCCTGATGCCTTGACTGCAGTCTTTTGCATCCTCTGCTGAAAATGGTCTGAACCAGATGCTTGAGCCTCTCCTCCAGCTCCTCTTCCTGCTCTAAACCCAACCTGACCTGCTGAATGCAAGGAGGACTTGATTGGCTATCAGGTGTCTGCTGTGACTCCTCAAAAGGAAGTGTGGTTTGTCCTCTGATGAAGATGAACTCTCAAGGTGGTGTTGATGACACATGGAAATACATATTAATAGACACACACCTAGAGGCACACAGACAGACAAACAAACATACAGAGCACAGAGGTGGCCATCCCCTGGGGTTGCTTGGGATTGAAACAAAACTGTGTTGACGGATGACTTCCTACACAAAGGACATGGTTTCTAGTCCTTTTATAATTTGCCTATTCTGAAGGAGATTGGCTTCTGTACATATAAGCATTCTTCCATGGGGTAGGTCACCTGCAGACTTGGGTGAATCATACATCACCTCTTTGGGTCATCAGCATATATGTTCTCCTTTTGGGTGTGTGACTAAGCCAATGTATTTCCACTTGTTCTTTTGTGCATCTGAGACTCATACAGCCCAGATGCCTGAATAAAGCTTATAACTTAAGTAGAGGTATGTGATGGCTCCCATTTTTTTGAGATAGAAAATTTATTCTGGGTTTAATCTGAAACTATTTGAGGACTGGATTTAGCACTCTGACTAACTCCATTACAGTTCAGATTGAAGCCCAGAGCAGTTTCACAGCTCCATTGATGTGGAAGCCACAATACTAAGCATATGGACTGAACCAGTTTCTGGCTGTAAAAGCTACTTGTTGCTGTAATAAAACATTAGTTTTGTATTTGTGCCACCTTCCTAATCTATTACACTTCATTTCAAGGAGAATGGTGGCTTGTGCTTTGTCTCTTTGTAATGGCTTGATTTTGGTGCTTTACTTTTATTGCATTTTCTGCACGTTCTTGGTATACATATCCCCTGCAACTTGTTTTCCTTCTTCTTCTTCTTCTTCTTCTCATTGTGCCTTCGCCTGGAGGTACCTTTTTCAATATTCTAGCAGAGTGCCAAAATCCACTTACGTAGCAATTTGCACATTGTCTTTAAAATGCAGAGGCATAACAAACTGTGGACTCTGTGAATGAGCCATCTTAAATAGATGGGAAATTTAGCAAAAAAAGAGAGCAGAAAGGCCAAGTTCAATAGAGATTACTGCTAAGGAAAACATTATTTTCTTCCCACCAATGTTGAAGAAGAGTGGGGAAAAGGTACTGAATATTGTATTGCTGTTGCTGGGTAGGTCAGGGATTTGTGTAAGAGTATTTTCCAGTCCCTCAGTTGATACAAGGATATTATGAATGGCATTTTTACTCACCAATTTAGAGCAGATATAAATTAGGGTGTGCATAGCACAGCTCTCCCAGTATCACTGGATTGCAACTCCCATTAGCCCTAGCAAAGTTAAGCACTGGTCAAGTACAGTTGGCTGTAACTGTATAGCATGACTACATCACATGTGGCATCTTCCGCTTTTGCAACCCTCTTCTTTTCTCCCACTCCTTCCAGCATTTTCCTTATAACAGAAAATTTATTAAAGAGGAATGATAGACAAGAACATTAACAGTAATCATTGTGTATTTTGAAGCAACAAACTCCCCAATCTTGCTGTCTCACAGAAAGGGGCAGGTTAAGGTAGAATCTGAATGCCATGGGATATTTTACAATCTGCCTTCCCTTAGCTGATGTTCAGATCAGAATGCTCTTGTCTGCCATTTCCCAATAGTTCATTATGTCAATTAGATCATTTTTCACTAATAGACTATGTGAAGTAAATTGAATTGTTCCTCTTGGTCTGTAGGCCATACAATGATCTAAGCCAGGGGTCAGCAACCTAAGGGCCGTGGGATGGGTATGGCCCATGGAGGCCTTCAGACTGGCCCCTGCCTGGTCCTGCTACCGCCGCTGCCCTTTCGCAGCCGTGGGGGTCCTCCGGGGTGCCATTTTGGATTCCAAAAATGGCACCCTGGAGTCTCGTGCGACCTTTCCTGTGATGGGAAAGGTCACAAGAGACTCTGGGGCACCATTTTTGGAATCCAAAATGGCGCCCTGGAGGACCCCCGCAGCTGTGCTGAGCCTCTCTTGGAGGCCTGGTGCCATCAAGGGAGCCCTCCTGGGGGACCCCTGCGACCATGCTGGGCCTCTCGGAGGCCTGGTGTGGCCACGGCGGGATGCGCGTGTGCGCGCCACCACAGCCTGGGGGGGCATCGAGGGACAGGGGGACCGGCTCCACCCCAAAAAGGTTGCCGACCCCTGATCAAAGCCAAAGACAGTTGTTCTTGGTATGCATGAATACTTTGACCAATATTATACAGTATCCGTCTTAGCCAAAGATATTAGAGTACTAAATGTAGAAAGTTTAAACAGGCAATTCTATCTGTACTACATAGTGTTGCATACCAGTTTTATTGTCATGGTTCCATCGTAAGGAATCCTTGGGGGGAGAGAAGGGACAGGCACAGCTCCATTATGTCTAGCCCCAGAGACAGATGAAGGGCCCTCCATCTATTCCAACTGCCATCACTGGCCTCAGAGGGAGAGAAGCCAGCAGTATCTGCTGGACTTGTTACTCTTCTCTACTGCCATTCTCTTCTCTTTTTGTGTCATGTCTTTTTAGATTGTAAGCCTGAAGTAGCCCTGATGGTGCAATGGATAAATGCTGGTAGTGCAGCCACAACATTGTGAGTTTGATCCCAGAGCTCCAGGTTGACTTAGCCTTCCATCTGTTTGTAGGTTGGCAAAATGAGTACCCAGCTTATTGGAGGCAATTGGCTTACAGATCGTAAACTGCTTAGAGTAGGGGTCGGCAAACTACGGCCCCCGGGCCAGTTCCAGCCCAGGTCGCCGGACTTACCGGCCCAGGCCGATCCCTGCTGCCATCGCGGCACGTTTTCTCCTCTGTGCGATTGCGTGCGCCATTTTAAAAATAAAAATGGCAGCCACGACGCATTTGCACATGTGCAGGAATACTGCGCATGTGCAAACGAGTC